GACCGGGGCTTGTTTTTACCAGACGCTGACCGGCAGGAGGACAAAAGAAGTGGAGCAAGGGATCAGGGCTTGTTGCAGTAAATACCAGCCCGCCCCCTCGCAACACCATCCCCACTCCTACCTCCTCCCTAAGGGCCTGTGGAATTGACAGAAACAATGACTCAGGCGTAGAATGGACAGAAATTGATTTTCTGCAGAAAGGTTAAATGAGCAGGCAGTTTTTTTTTTTCTCATCGCTGTAGAGGTTGTTTTTGTTTTGGCCATTGGCTACTTTTGCCATTTTATTGTTTGCGTCTTCTTTTGTGAGGCAGAAGTCGATGTGGAAGTTTGTGATGGACGTACCTTAATGCAGTTTCTGAAGCAGTTAGAATGAAACGAGGCTTTTAAGAAGTAAAAAGCCTCCGTTAATCGTCCGTCTTTGCACCTGTCATCGTCGTACCAGACTTGATTGGACAAAATGTCGCGGATGTACGCGGCGGTTTCGGCAGAAGTGGGCGCAGAATCTGCCACGAAAGTACATTATGAAAGAGCCGAGTCTCCTATCCCCCCTTCAACATTCTCACACACGCAGCAGACAACACAACCTCTTGTGATGCATTCCTTTGTGACGTCAAGCTCGCTGCCTCTGGGCTACGAGGCACAGCACAGGATGTCTGAACAAGAGAGACAAAGACAAAGAGAGAGAGAAGAGAGTGAATCGCTTCTATGTGTAGAAAGAGATAAAAATTCATATTTTCGTGGCTAAAGAAAAGACAGACTGGAGAAAATAGATTTTTCACTGAAGTCAAAGGAAGAGAAAAAAAAAAAGAAAGAAAGAAAAAAAGGAAAACAGTGCCGAGCCCAGAAAGTCGGAAAGTGACTGCAAATAGCAGGAGTCTTACTTCCCTATAATAAGTCAAATTCTTTGCTGCTTCTCCTCCCTGCGTTTGACAGCCAGCCTTGCCCTGAGCGATGCCCGGTCTGCCAGCAAAGGGGAAGAGAGGCACGGCTGCCGATCATACCGCGCCATGTGATACCGAGTCACACCGCAGCAACCAACATCCTCAGCATTATACTCTATTTTCATAGAAACTCACGGGGAGGCTTCCAATGCCACAGCATTGCATAACACTGGCCCGTTATCAGAATGTGTTTACTTGTAGGTGATTACATTTTGTTGTGTGTTTTTCTCCCATTTGGATTTTTAAATCTTTGCTTAGTCTTGTGTATCACATTTTAGTGATTGTTGCCATCAGGTGTTACCCCTCCCTGTTAAGATTTCATCAATTCTGCTTCTCTTTTTGCTTATTAATTCACTTTTTTGTCAATCAATTGTAGGTTTTGTCGCATTTTTTAAGCGAGAAAAGAAGCCAACGAGCATTTTCATTAGTTTTAGTAATATGTAGGTCAATTGGTGTTTGAAACTTAATTTGAGTAGAAAATGAAAGTTTTGTAGAATGTGGACTCTATCTCACTACAACTTGCTCCACATCAAATACAGTCCTCTATTATAACACAGATTAAGCCCGCTTTTAATTTGCAAATTCTTGTTGATATCAGAAATGAAGAAAAATAGAAATATTTTCTTTATCTTGCGCGTACCAGTTGTCATTTTTTCCTCAGGTTTTTGCATTCGTCAAAGTTATGAGTGCAGAAAACACTGTCAGAAATGCTTTGTCATGATGATAGAGCACTTTTCTAACTGCATACATACTTTAGATCCATGTGTGGATCTAAAGTATGTATGCAGTTAGAAAAGTGCATACTTTAGATCCATGTGTGGAGAAAGGAAAGTTTACTGTATAGTAAATACTGTAGTAAGATTTGCCAGATTGCAGTCATGCACACTTGCACGTATGTAGATTTTGGTTAAAATTTTGCTTGCACATTAAAAAATACAACTAGTAGAATAGATATTATATATACACCAAGACATTTACATATGTTCAAACACACTTTTACCTACTTATACCCAGATATCCTTGAATTTGAAGTAAACAAGAGAAATAGGAAGATATAAGACCTCTGATAAAAATTCCAATGTACAAAAAAGTCACTATAATACGGGTAAAAAGGCAACCACACAATAAATATACCAATGGCAGACTGGTGCGTCACTACCGCGTGTAAATCAGCACAACAGTTTGAAATCGCTGCAAATGTATGATGTGTGATTCACGTGTGGGAGACAGACTAAAACGGTACCAACTCATTAAAAAAAAAAAAAGGATCCACAGAGGCAGCAGAGGTGAAAAACTCCACAGGATACTTTTAGCACAGCTGTTGATCTAACTCACCGCAGTGGGTTGTGTTTGCTTTGAACATGCGTGTAGCTCGGTAGCCGCGTGATGGTCGTCTGCAGGCGCGAGATAAGATACAGGAAAGATGGATATCACTGCGCTTTAAAGACATAATGGGACATTAGGTTGCCGGTCAGCTCGCAGTCATTCGACCGACAGATTTGCAACTTTGTTGTGCTTTGGCGAGCAAATTGTGTGTTTTTTTTATTTTTTTTAGAAAAGCAGGGGTATGGACGCACACTGACTGTGAACTATTGTGAGCGCTTGTGATTCAGGAAGAGTTTTGGGGGTTTTCCATACCACAGAAGCGAGATAAGACATTTCTTACCTCCGTCACGTGTTGGAGGTTGAAGTTCACACAAATAAATATCACGCAGCTGGAACTTTAATCTGATCTGCTGTAATCAGTGCTTCTTTTGTGATTACTGCCTGCAATAATAAAACTGACCCACTTGAAAGAAAGGGCTGGAAAACGTCTACTTTGACTTTCTGTGTGGAGTGTTCAATGTGAGGTCAATACGCAAGTTGTCATAAAATAAATAGTTATTTAAATCTGCTGTGTTAAATATATGAATTTACAAAAAAAAACCATCTTATTTTATTTTATTTTTTTAATGTTTATAGCCAGCAAGCAACTTTTATAAACAGATCTGACAGGAAATATTTTTCAATATTTAAATAATCAAATTATGTTTCTTTCTTGAATTGTAATCAGTAAAAATGCATCATTTAGTAAAAGTCAGGAACATATTGTTGTGCAAAAGTGGTATTTGAGCCAGTAAACATGTACTAAACTGGTGAAAGATGATAAAATAGTGGTCTGCTGTCTGTAGCCAGATTGCTTTCTCTTAACTGGTTGACATAAAGTGTGGGTAAAATGCCGACATTGAAATCTACTGACTGAGAAAGCAAAATGACCATTTCATTTAAGTTGCTGTTACTTTGACAAATTGTCATCGTGTGATGCAGCGCAGTACAAAATGTACACAGAAGTTATACATATTCATGCATAAAAACTGTAGAAATAAGCTGAACCCTTTAACAAAGTGAAAAAGCAGCCAAAGCAAATTTCTAAAGACATTTTTGGTAGTCACTTTTGATTCTATAAAAGCACTGAAAATAGACAGACAGTTAGTTTAATAGCCCACACAACCAGATAGCCTCCGACCAGTAGGAATTTCTTTGTAGAAAGTGTGTAACCAATGGTTGTTGAGCTAAAAATTTGCATAACCCTGCCCACAGCTTCCTTCCTCACAGTCTAGCAGGTCTACTGTCTCGCTGGAGCTGCTTTTTCTAACTCTAAAATGTCTCAACCACAACCAAAGCGCACCAAAAGTTCTGGCTGCAAGAGTGAACACAAGAGCCTTCATGCACTCCCAGCATCTGTGAAACTAAACATCCAGTGAACTACTTATATTTTTGATGGCTGTGTCACCACAAGAAAAAGTAAAATCCGTGGCGCTTTGATCGTATCGCCACAGCTCAGAGTCATGGATGCAGAGGGAGGAGCCAGAAATGGTGGAAACTGAGATTTAAAACAAGTATACAAAGCCTGAGTGGGTTCCTGTGTGTTCATGTTGCCTTCTGTGCTTCAGTGCGTCCTAAACCCAGCGGGTGTCAGCCCTTCACATCTGTTCACTTCTCTCGCCTCTCTGAGCGCACATCTACTGCATTTTAATACGGCGGAGTTCCTCGTAAAGCTGTTCTCATTTACATATTTTTATGCTTTCGTTGTCACACAGCCGAAGGTGTATAAAATAGTGACTGAGACGCTTTAAGACTACATGCTAATCAGCCGTCACTTCTGAGATGTTATCAAGCTGTTCCTGTACACTGCTAAACTACTGGTTTTATAACTCCAACATCGTACACACGAGTTGAACAACACCTGTGCGTTGAATTTGGCAATATTTCCATGTAAAATGAGAAAAATTAAGAAATGATAGATCAACTATGTGTACAGCGACGGACACATGGCTAAAAATCAGGGTTATGCAGTCATAAAAAGGGGCACAATATGGGACTTTAATGATTTTTTTGAATGTAACTTTCACTTATTTGATAATGAACATGTCTTTTTTGTTCTGTAATGCTGTAGCAGGCTCTTCAAGTTGTGGAAAGCTTTTCGTTTGCATAGCATCATGCAGAAATTACAGCTCCAGAAGTAGCCAATACACAGCAGCTACTGACGGTCATTTTAAAAATGGTGTTTCCTCTATATGTCTGACCAAAGTGTTAAGCGAGTTCAGCGACGACACCGGGTGGAAACATCACAGTTTAGCCCTGTGACCAATCGTGCGATCGGCTCGGCACGTTCGTTGAAAAATACTATAAATAAAAATAGCATATGTCATACAGTGGAGCCAGTCGTCTACCACTGATAATTCATGGGGCAGAGATGTATGTGTTTTCATTGATGCGTCAAATGGAAGTGATCTGTCACATAGGAAATGTAGAAATGTGTTTGTCACTGTCAGTTTGTATTGTAGTGGCCTAAAAACAAGAGGAAGTGAGAAAGACACTGAGAATGTGTGCATTAAAATCCAAGCTCAGTGGATCATCACTGGTTTTTTTTTGCTACATGCAAAATTAGTCTCTGCAGTGATGCATTGAATTTTAAGCAATTATCATGTTTTACTGTTTAAATTATTTCTCAGTCTAATGTCTTTTTTTTTGCTTTTCTTTCCCCTCTTCCAACCTACTTGTGCTTCCTTCCTCTAGTCCTTCTGGCTCAGCCCATAGAGAATGAATGTATGGAGGGTTTGACGTTGAAGATTACTGACTTTGGCCTGGCGAGAGAGTGGCACAAGACCACAAAGATGAGCACGGCTGGCACCTACGCCTGGATGGCCCCCGAGGTCATTAAGTCCTCCACCTTCTCCAAGGGCAGCGACGTCTGGAGGTGAGTGCTTGTTTCTGTGTGTGCGTGGGAGAAGGGGTTTCTGAAGCTCAGCGATATTTAGCTGCTGTGTAATTTACTATGGAATTCAGCTGAACCAAATCCAGGATTTGTGTTATATGCACAGGTGTCCTTGCAAGGTATTTGGGTTTTTTTCTTTTTTTTAATCAAAAGCCTGCTTTGCCCTTCATAATATTTAAGATAAGGTGAATTAAACTGAGTCACAGCACCTTAAAGGAATGGTTTGACATTTTGGGAAATAAAGTTATTTGCTTTTTTTTTGCAGTCAGTTAGATATGCTAGATGCTGTAAATATGAGGCAAAGACCTGCAGGCTATGAGTTTAGCTTTCATAAAGGCCACAAACATAGGACACACTCAGCTATGCATTGTGAGACGGTAAAACATCATCCCAACATCACTGCTAAATTTTAATAATCAACACATTGCCAGACTAGTTTTCAGCCTTTATGCTAAGCTAAGCTAATTGCCTGCTGGCTCTAGCTCAACAAATACAAATAAAACCTAGCAGAAATATGAACTGGGCATAGCAGTGTGCTCGGAAAAGTGAAGCCAGTGCAAAAGTGCCTTAAGGTGCAATACCAATGGATGCCACTAGGTGGTAGCTCCAAAACCCTCTGGCTCCCATTGACTCCCATTCATAATGAACATTACAAGTAAGTCGATAATTTTTTCCACAAGTTATGATATTTTTTTGTTAAATTGTCTTCTGTACAGTGTTTTGACGTTCCATCTGAAAATAATTTCAAAATTAGATAGAAATAAGGGTTAAAAGAGTGTGAGCGGGTAAAAGTGTCCTTGGGTTCTTAGTCAATCCTGCTCCTATCTACCCTCCAGATCCTCCAAATTTGGTCATTTCTGACTTCAAAAACTCAAAGATGGCAACCAGGAGCTAGCAAACTTGAGGCTCGGTCCATTTTTTATATACATCCTATGATGTGGGAGTGCAATAAACTTGCTTTCTGTCTAACGGCCAGCAGGGGGCGACTCTTCTGGTCGCAAAAGGTAATCAAATTACATGTGACAACAACCCTAAGTTTCTCTTGATCTGGTAACATTTTCCAAATGGGTGTATGGCCTCAATCACTAATTTTAAGCCTTTTTGAGTCCAGCATGATGTTCGTCTTGTAAATAACGCTCCAATGTAAAGTACAATAGATGATAAAGCAGAATATATCCAAGGGTGAGGCTACTTTGTGATCAATCGGTCGATACCGTGTCACCATCAAGTTTTTTTTTAGTCAGATCCACTGCTGCCTAGTAAAGTCTGGTTACAAAATCAAATCAAATTCCAAATTCAAGGCTTCAAAACGGCAGTTCACAAAACAATGGCTGAAGTCACAATGGCTGTATCCATCTTTTTTAGAAGTGCATAGGTGGATTTCCTCACATTAATCCCTGACAGGACAAAGAAGGTACGAGGTATTAATTCAATACTAAACCCAAATTTTGACTCCTGCTTTTCACAAGGACGTCTGGCATAAAACACTTGATAATAAAGCTGAAATGACACTGAGTGGGGGCCCTCGGAGAAATATTTTATAGTTGCTTCAGAAGCTGACAGCTAATATTCAGTCCACCTTAAAATGTCATTTCGAATCATTTCAGCTGTACTCAGAGTCGGTGCTTATGTCTTCAAGTAGAGATGTTAAAAAGGAGTTTCTGATCGGTATTAATAACGTTGGTGTAGGGTAGCACATAAAGTGCACATCAGGTCACAGTAGGACTTTGATAAAAATGTCATTTTCTATACTTTGTAAGCATTTAATTAGATTTAAAGCAGTCACCTAAGGAATCATTTTACTGATGCTTATTATTTATACGACTCAAACTGTGAGATTTTCGAAAGTTTCAAAAACTTTCATTTCTGCTTAAAACTTCGTCCACAAATCAGTTTAAACAAAGGAAAGTAGAAGGACTAAAGGTCTTAGACGAACTAGACATGAAGCATTGATATCAGTCTCTTGCAGCAGTGCTGAAGCAGAATCGGACCCTCTGTGTGTAGACGGTAGTCAGGGTGTTAATTATCTGCAGCCACTCCACAGGACAGGTCTGTGAAGAAAAAAACACGATAGAAATAGAGGGGAAGGGGTGAAAGTGCAGAGAAGTGATGGTGGGAGACTCGGTGATGAAGAGATGGAGGGACAAAGTGATGGATTGCAGCAAGGCCGCAGCGACCATGTGATGGCGTCTCTTCAAAGAGCTGCTCTGTGCTTTGTTGTGGGACATGTGTACTGCACACTGTCCCATTGTCTCCAGTATAGACAGAGAAGGAGGCCACACACCAGACCTAACCACAGCCCTTTATCTGGGAATAGCTCTGTGTATATGTGTGTTGGTTCATGTGTGCGCGCGCCTATCTGTGTGTGTTTGGCCACATCTACACAGAAAGAGAAGAGTCCCTTGATTATGGTTTGGGGTTTTAAAATAATGACTTAAACAACTGTGTGATTTGTTGAGGGGGGATTCATGATGGCTTTTAAGCATACGAATTTGCATTTGGAACGAAGCAAGCAGGGGTGTTTTTACCCAGCAATAGGGAAAAATATAAATAATTTATTAAAATGATAACACATTCACAGCTTTGCTGCTTTGCTGCATTGTGGTTGTAGCAGTTACTCTCATATGCCGTGGTTTAATTTTAATCCTGTGGATTTGGACCATTTCATCCACTCTTGAATGCTTCTTTGCAGCCTCGTACAGAGCCTATGTGAAACCAATTGAGCAGAGAACCTTTTTGAAAGCGTCCTTGAGAACATCAAAAAAGATTTTTCTATGCTGCAAGCTACTTAAGGAATTTTCTGGTACTTTAGAGAACCCTATTTAGCAAAAGTGTACAGTTTCTACTACCTTAAAGGGCGCAATGCCATCTCGCTATCTCACACACACACGCACGCATCCTCTCGGTTTCTATATCCTCCGTCTATTGACAGCAAACCCACACAAGTTCATTTTCATAGCAATCACTGCACAATCTGGAAAACAGCAAAACGAGCGAATAGCAAGCGGACAGGCAGCCAGCCCTGCTCTGAAAATGAAGGGTAATCTTTGTTCTAGTACTCTTTCTCATCTGTCCACGGCCGCTCGTCTCAAAAGCCACCACGCGGAGACGACGACCGCCTCGGGGCGAGCCGACGAGCAGCGTTTCTGCACAGTCACAGTGTGTGGAAGTTGTAATTAAAGAACTAAATAAAAAAAGGCTGCGGCCTGCGCTCTCCACTTAGAGAGCCTCCACAGTGCGTTCAGTCAGGTCCGGGCGAGGGCTAATTGACAGTGTGGGAGATCCAAGTCCTGCGCCACGCTTCATCTTCTTAGGACACAGTGCTGCTCCCATTGTGTGGGCTGAAAAGTCCTGTGTGTTTGTGTGTTTGTGTTTGCAGAAGTTCTGCATGCATGAGTTCAGAGTGCTTTGCAAGCACGTGTTTCATCAAGCAAAAATATTCCATTGCACCAGTGTCTCTTGGTTTTGTACTGTCAGTGCTGCGGTAATGAATGTGTGAGGAAAAATGCGCTGCACAAAGCAAGAAGCACAATAAATGGTAACTCAGACTTGAAATTCACTTTAGGTAATTAATTGATTTCAAATCGTGATTTAATAGTTTCCTCAAATCAGTCATCCGTGTTTAAAGGTTCATTTTGTGTATCAGTTTCTTTAATAGTAACCGTTGTATGCGTTGTTTAAACAGACTGAAAGTAGACTTAAGTAAAGTTAAAAAGCCTTCTGGCAGCTCACACTTCAGTGTGGCCTACTTTGGTTGAAATTTGGTTCAGTCTCTTCATCGACCTCATTTCCAGCTACACCAGGAAGCAGGTTTCACTTTTAAAAAAAGCCCTGATAGACAATGCGCTTTGTCTATTCCGCGCCAAATAGCTGACAGGCCAAGTGAGGAGTCGGTGGAGACCAAAAACGGAGCTAAAATAAGAGCGAACACTGGTTTAGCATTCATCAAGCAATCTAACGTGACTCCAAATGAATACTGTTGTTGTCTCCACGGTGCTGTGTCAGCACTGGAGAATGGTCGGACTGCACCTCGTTATTTTTGAGCTATAGAGGAAAAAAAATGCATGTTTGCAGCGCCCCTGCAAAATAGTGATTGTGTTGGTCGAACTTTTGCACATAAGGAGATGAGCACCGATATTAAAATGGCTAACTCGCTAAATAAACTAGCAGGACAGCCTCATTGCAAGGTACAAATCGTCCTTACAGCTTGGCATTTTCAGCATGTCGGTTGCTGCCTGGAGGTTTTTGTCCCATTGCTAAGAGGATTTTGGAAAATGGCAACCTGAAGATTTACATCCAGTGCGTCCGACTACGATTGTTGTTGAGCGTGCTGTGCAACTGAACCGCTTCACAGTAAATGCAATTATAAAGCATTTATAAGCTGGAAGATTTTTTACTGTGATGCATGTGCAGGAAGTATGTAGGTAGCCTGGAATGAAAATTAGCATTTCCAGCTAGCTTTGCCTTATTTGGAGTTCTTTGATCAATAAGTATTATCCCTGTGAAAAGAATGAAAGAACCATTTTTGCATGGCAGTCATAGCGCTAAATAATATGCAAAAAAAAACAAAATTCATGTTTTGATTGTTTGATAGATCATGTGATTGCAATATGAGTAGCGATTTTGGTAATATTTTTTAAAAAAAATTCCACACACAACAAAAGATGCATCTGAAATGGCTCGTTGTGACACATTTTATTATCAACAAGAAATTGCAGCGTCTACGATCGGCAGTAGAATATTTTATGTAGCTATAATTCCTATTAAGCACCATAATACTGCAATGATTTGATTTATATCGTTTAAAAATGTGTTAGATATGCTGAGGGTTCAGCGCTAACTATATGTGGAAAGAACGTTGCATCCTGATGCGTGTTCCAGGATGCATCCTATGTCTAATTTTGGTCTCAGTGTGTTGTCTCATGCCTCGCTGTCTATGTTTTTCCCCCTCCAGCTATGGCGTTCTGCTGTGGGAGCTGCTAACAGGAGAGGCACCCTACAAAGGGATTGATGGACTTGCCGTCGCCTACGGAGTCGCTGTCAACAAGCTCACCCTGCCCATCCCTTCCACGTGCCCCGAACCCTTCGCTCAGCTCATGTCAGGTGGGACACGTGTTTTCGGGAAAAAAAAAATCGTAATTGAATGCACTCATAGCGCTGTTAAGGCAGCGACTTTCAGCTCGGTGGTGTGAGAGCGCTCTTGCGTGACATCGAATTGGTGTCCCAGGCACGCGCTCTTTCCATTTCCCCAAAGCTGCAATGAAATTGAGAAAACAAATTCCTGTATGTTGTTAATAACGTGGCCGTGGAGAGGAAGTGTTTTGTGCCGGAGCCGCCTTGTGCAATATGTTTGTGCCCATTTACTCTCTTCTCCTGTTCAGTTTTTGTGTTAAAAAGAAATGCCACCTGGGTAGTTGCTGCCATGATACCAGCCAGTACATTTGGCAAAAACGAGACACTTTACATTCTTTCTACTTACCCCCATCCCTTGTTGCCAGCTTGTTTTTTTTTTTTTGGGTTGTATTTAAAAAGAAAGAGATCAATGCACAAACCCACCGGTAGCCACCTCAGAGGATTAATTAATTATCAGATTGGTTTTTGATGTGCTTGTAATGCCCAAAGTTTTGCAGCAAATTATGCAAAGCTCCCCACAGCAAGTTAATTAAGCATAACACTTTGAATAAGTGATCAGCTTGACTCTAGACTGTGCTCACACAAGTGACTAAAACGTGTAAATAGAAATTAGAGGCATTGCAGGGTATTCTTTCAGCGTTACGTCTATTGTGTGCAGACACGTCCGTCACTCGTTCTAATTTGTGTTAAAAATCCGAGCCGACAGCCTTCAGTTGGATGATGAAATTCTCATTTTTTCATTGTAAATCAGTACGTCTGAGGGTTACGGCTAATGAGCGAGTGACTTCCTTCTTTCAGGTCCCTCGATTCAAGATTCAAAATGCTCAAAAGAAGTGAAACTGTACCGGAAACGAGAGAATCTGTCAGATGTTTTCCTCTCATTTTAAGGAAACAACTCTGCACCAAACTAAACTGTTTTGACTTTTTTTTTTAACATTACACTTTGTAATATTCAGGGCAGTCATGCATTCATGCTTCATAGAGTGCAGCTGTAAGAAAGTGTCACACTAGGTCATCACCCTAGTTTCTGACTGTGACTGCTGCATGCATGACAGAGTGCTGGGACCAGGACCCCCACCGCAGACCCAGTTTCAGCTCCATCCTGGCCCAGCTGACGGCGCTGGAGCAGCAGGTGAAGGAAGAGATGCCGCAGGACTCCTTCCACTCCCTGCAGGAAGACTGGAAACTAGAGATCCAGGACATGTTTGATGAACTCCGGGCCAAAGAGAAGGTAAAAGGCTGTCGTCATACGGTTGCTGAGGCTGATTACTAATGGAGAAAAAAATTTCAACGATAGTGTTAACTTTGAACACATCACAGTTTCTTTGTTGATGATCCTGATGTTGATCTGGTTTAGCGTTCATGCAGTTTAATCCACTCTTGACATTTAACTAATTTTGTTTCAGGCTTTGGGAATGTAATAAAGACAGCGCATGATCAGGGTAACTCGTGTTGCTTTCAGACATCCTCCAGACTTTCGGAAGTGTTTTCATGCTTTGTAGCATCTGTATATTGGCAATTCTGACAGTTAAGGGGAATTGCTTAGCTGCTAGTTTCTCTGTTCACAGCATTTTCCCCTATGGTCGTATTAATTTTGTATTCAGCCGAGGCGACCCTCTGTTTTTTGATTAAGTACTCAACAGAAGTGTCAGATGATATAAAATTGGATCACCTCTCAGTCATTCCAACACCTCTGAGCGAAATGAAAGCTCTCATGTAAAATAAAAAACAATGATTCAGATTTACTCTATTTAAATGCGACAAATGTCGGTACATCTACTAAGATTCCACGGGTTGGCATTAATAGTGCCATCTGTATATATTGCCTCCTCGTTTACTCACCACATCTCACACTCTGTGCTTCACTGTTGGAACTATGCATTCACCGTGGTAGTCAGGTTCACATGCTGAACCTCATCCGAGCAGAACAAATCCATCTCGATCTCATCTCTCCAGTACTCGAACTTCTTTATATGGTGTTTGGCAAAGTTTACTCTTGCAATTTTGTTTATTAGATTGTTCACAAAAGTGCGTTAATTTTAGGAGAGGAGCCTGTCTGATTGGTGGTGCTATGGCTCGTTTAGTTGATCTTCCTGTATCCTTTTTATATCTTTAAAGATGTCACGACAACAGCTTTTTTTCAGTTCCTGAGAAAGTTCACAGCTCATTTTATTAACACATTCATGCATTTCAGCTAATTGGAAATCACAGTTGTATCCACTTCTGTTGCATTACGTTTCTACTTTGGGGCCTTTTTTTTGTTTCACTGATCACTTTTCTGACTTTGTTGCATTGAGGGTCAACTGAGGCCCTGAGTTTTCAATGTAGTGTTTGTTTTTGATTATTGATTAGAGGAAATATTCTGCTTATCAGCTTAGAAATAATACACTTATTGAGAGGTTATACAACTTTAAATCGTTTGACATTTAGATCAGTTTGAACAAGAGCGCACTAATTTGTTTACAGTATGTGGCCAAAGATCATATGATTGAATTAAGTGATGAGTCGCTACAGCACAAAAAGACTAGTGTGCATAGAATCGTTTTCACACAGATAACACAAACATATCCTTGAACTGATTTGAAATACGTCGTGATGTAATGTTGTATCATTTGATCTACCCAGTATTTAAACTAACGTCCCTGGAGGAGAAGCCTTATAAATAAAAGCCGTGAGTCATCTTGCCTCATGAAAGATTTCAACACAACCAACCTCCTCAGCATCTCTTTTTATAATGCTGTAAACCTGCATAACCTCAGTCGGCACATGATCGGCACCTGCTGATATTAAGCCCCCTCCTGACTACCTTCTTGTATTTCTTTCCTCCATCAGGAGCTGCGATGCCGCGAGGAAGAGCTGAAGCGAGCGGCTCTGGAGCAGAAGTCCCACGAAGAGTTCCTGCGGCAGCGCGAGCAGCAGCTGGCCCAGTGGGAGCAGGACGTGTTCGAGCGCGAGCTCAGCCTCCTCATCCTCCACCTGAACCAGAACCAGAACCAGGAGAAGCCCAACGTCAAGAAGAGGAAAGGCACCTTCAAGAAGCACAAGCTCAAGTGCAAGAACGGCGAGAAGATCAGCATGCCCCAAGGTGTGTGTGTGTGTGTGCATATGTGTGTGATTTTGACTTTTTCTATCAGAAATCAACTATTAGTCAGCCACCAATCTTGAGGAGAAATCCCATTTCAAGGGCCATTACTGGCTCAGTCTCAAGAAGCAACAATAACAACAAGAGTCAAAAAAAAAATACAAGCGAGCAGAGAAGAGGAAGCGAGGGAGAGTTTTGTGGTACGGCTGTTGTATTTTTGTAGCTCGGCTTTAGCTGAAGGTTCCTATCAGGGCAGTAGGTTTAAAGGCTTCTACTGTGGAAAAAGCAGGCAGCAGACAGGTGCTGTTTTCTGTTGTCATACAACATCTTGCTTACTTGTGTTTCCATTGCAAAAAAAAACCCCGTCAAAAGTGACGACTCTTCAAAAATGTTGCCTCTCAATTTATCCCTCTAAAGCTCCTTGAAACAGCGTTTGTTAGACGTCGATCCCCGTGAAAGGTGGATCAGAGTCTGACCTGCTGACCACTGACTTGGTGCTCCTGTTTGTTTTGAGTGTTTTTTTGCTTCTCATACTCACCTTCTTATGTATCCTCTGCTATCAGAAAGTCGCACAGCCTGCAGCAGTTCACATCCAGTGTTTCAATGCGTGTGTGAGTGTATTTTGGGCTGTGCAAGCATGCGTAAATGCACTGTCTGTGTATGTGTGTGTGTGTGTGTGTGTGTGTGTTGTGGTTAGGCCTTTCCCAGCAGCAGCAGGGCGGTGATGTGGTGGTGGTGGTGGGGGGTTGATGAGAGGGGAGAGTGAGCCAACCACGCCTCGACACTTCCTGTCCATGGATACACTGCTGGCTGGCCTCTCTCACTTTCTTGCTCTCGTTCTGTGCCTCCCTCCCTCTCTCTCTCTCTCCCTCTCTTTTTCTTTTTAAGTATGCCTTCCTCACCCATTTTCTCCTTTCCCCTCCAGCTCCCTAGTCGGTGTTTTTATTCTAACCATATCTGCCTGAATCCCTTTCTTTTTTTTTTTCCCCCTCTTCCTCTATCCACCAATATTATTATTATCTTTCCCTTCATCCTGTGTGTTGCTCTTGCACTTTATTCCCAGGAGTAACTTATATATTGTGTTTTGTTGTCTAGAAGCAGATGAAACATACTTAGATGTTCTTGTTTAGGATTTATTCGTCTCGTACGCAAACAGTATATGTAACAAAATGCAGTCTGGCATGCTTTTGAGACTGCGCTACAATAATAATGTGAAAAATACAAGTTGAAAAAGGACGTCTAATGGATTCTTGAATAACAGAGGCTTTGCAGTGCTGCATCGCAAATTTGGTTTTCTAATGGTTGCGATGTGGCGATATACGAGGTGTGTCAGAACAGTTTCAGGACTGGTGTCATGAAAAATACATTTCAAATCCAAACTGCAAGTTTTCCCCTTCGACGGATTCCTCCTGGCGTCACCTTCCCAGTCTTCTCTGCCACGCCGCCATGCACTCCTGGAAGGATTCTTCCGGGATCCTCTGTCTTCACAGCCATCTTGATGTCATCCACGTCTTCAAAACGGGTCCCCTTGATGACCCCCTTGAGCTTGGGGAAGAGGAAAAAAATCCCACGGAGCCAGGTGGGGTGAGTAGGGAGGTTGCTCCAGCACGGCGATGTTCTCCTCAGCCAGGAGCTGTAGGATACTCAGGGCGCGTTGTCATGGTGAAGCAGCCACCACTTGTCCTGACACAACTCTCGCCTCTTCTCGTGCACTGAACAAAGCAAACGCCGCTGGATCTCTTTGTAGACGTGCTGGATGATCGTCTGAAGGGGAAAACTCATAGTTTGTAGTTGGGGTTTGAAACATATCTTTTGTAACACCAGTCCTGGAACTTTTCTGACACACCTCGTAGACAGTCAGGAAATAGTCTGGTGTTGGGTGATGTCTATCTCACATGTCTCTCCACATGAAAAAGAATTGCCAGAACTGAAAGATCTGATTGTGTGACTTTACAAAGATAAAAGAGGATACAGGGGGATCAATGAACAACTAAAAATCAGCTGACACACAGTTTTAGTAGTAATCAGAAGGTGTGGAACCAACCATAGTACCACTAATCAGAACCACAGTTCTAAAATGAAGCAAGAGACTGCACCATTTGCAAAGACTAGCTCTAGAAAACAGGCAGGCAAGTGCTTCAGAGTTTGCACAAGTTTCTGCGACAGATCAAACCGCGTGAAGGACATCCAAGAAAACTAAAATTCTTTGGAGCAAAACTTACTGGATTAAACTCAAGCTAAAGAACATGAAAAGAAGCCTGATGAATGTTGGAGGCACAGTCTTTGGTCAGATGATGGTCAAGATGAATTGCTTTGCAGTGTGTTTTGCATGAACCTGGACAGGGCTTCCACAGTGAATGCATAGTCCCGACAGTGAAGCACGGTGTTGGGAATGTGATGATATGATGCTGCATGGGTGCAAAAGAAGTGTTTTCAGAAAAAAAATCTCTGTTAATAAAGACACAGCATGATTTACTAGTACATTTCTATGATATTTTTAGAGTATAATATTTGCCTCCGAAATATGGTGAAGTAGAAGAAGAGAATAACCTTAAAGTTAATTAAAAGTGTGCTAATGTACAGTAGTTCAGTCATTTTTTTTTCTAGTTACATTCAACCACTGGATTTATGAAGCCATAATGTCAAACCACATAATTAGACTATTACCTCAAATTAATTTTCCCAATCTATCTTTTTGCTAGTGTTCCCTCGCTCACCTTTTTCTGGCCGTAGCGAGTAACAGTACATCAGATTGAGTCTTTTTAAGTGAACAAGTAAGATTGAAGAACATAATTTAGTCATTTGTAGACACAAGCAATTAATTATAGAGAAGGAATTAAGAAAGCCAAAAGGTAAAAAACAAGCAATTAAGGGAAGGAGAAGAAGGTACTGAGTGCATTTTGATTTGAGGTTTGTAATTTAACGGGCACGGTTTGCTATTAGAGGGAATTATTTATTAGAATGTTTTCCTCATGATACCCATGGGCTGCGCACCTCGACATCAGCAGCATTGCTCTCCACTTTCAGCTGTGGTGCTTAGTATTTACTGCTAAATAGACAGTATGCTAGGTGAAGCTTGAATAATGTCAGAGATCAAGTCTTTGGTAAATTGATAATCTGTCCCTAAGATGGCAAGATGCATGAACTCTTGAATTGCTTAATATCTTTCCTAGAGTTGACGATCCGTGTGTTTGATTTAAGAAAGCATAATAAGAGCATTACCGCCTGTATTCCATTGGATGTTCTTCTTACATGTTTCCCACAAGATAAAAGTCCCAAATCAAACACAGCCCAGAAATTAGCCCTGGCAACTTACGCAATCAGCTTTCCACGACTATGGATCTCTTGATAGGGCTATTTTTTGCGCAATAAAGGAAGCTTACAAAAATGTTGCAACCTTCAAAGCAGCTGAGAGCTCTTGTATGTATGACTGTCCTAACTGTCTTGTCGTGTACATGTGTCCCGCAGGTTTCATCCATAAGATTACGGTGCAGGCGTCCCCGGGCCTGGAGAAGAGGCGGAACTCTCCCGATTTGGGTTCGGGCTCCTCGCCTTCCTTTGGCCCACGTTTCCGAGCGATCCAACGTGAGTGCTGCTATTTGTTGCCTGGCGCAGGTGCACCTCCTGCATGTGTGTGTACACTTCCAGAGACGTTTAGGAAACCAAAGAGCGTTTCTCACCGTCTTGCGTGCCACATAACAGCCTCTGTTGCAACATTACATCTCTCAGTTTCCAAAGTCTCTCCTTTCATGTGCTCTCAACCACCCACTCGTCTTTTTGTCTTCCCCTGTTTCCCCGTGGGCCCCCGCTCTCTCTCTCTTTCTCTCTCTATCTCCCCCCCTCTCTCTCCCTCCCTCCTCTGTCTCTCACACACACCCTTTTCCCTTTTCAATAGTCTGTTCCAGTCCAAATATTATCTGACTTCCTCTCAGCAGCTCAGCACTTCTCGGCAGCATTTTTTTTTTTATTTTTTTTTTTTAACCCCCCCCAATCTGTAGGCCTTGCTTTGCAGTTACCTCGGAGCTGCAGTGGGGGGAGCCATTCAGCTATGTTTTTTTTTTTTTTCCAGGCAGAAAGCAACTGTAGTTTTATATGCATGCAGCGGCACCAGTGTGGTTTACTGAATTAAAAATATGCAGGCAAGAATTCATCGCTCGAGGAGAAGGGGTTGAGCAGGGTTGCAGCAGCGGCAGTGATTTACAATGCTCCTCTGCTTGTCGGGCTCTTAGACGTACGCCCCGAGATCTTTCCCTTCGGAGGAAAATTGTAGCCGGTAGGTCATGGGGCCGTCTTAACAAAACCCAAAAGGAAATTTGTGGTGTAGCAACAGGCAATGAAAGGCTTTTTACTAAACAATTACCACCGGGGTTTGACATAAAAGCACAAATTGCAGTGAAACATTTATCTGTAAAAGTGGTTAGTAAATCCAAAACATCTGCCAGCTTCATTTATTCATTAAATAGCAGGCTGGTTTTCTTTACTTCCTAATGACTCTCCTTAATGGCAGTCACTAAGCCATGAGTGTGCCTGTCATTAAAATGTGTTTAGTGGATATTTATGCTTGCCCTCTCAGTAGCAAGCAGTGATTTATTGCCGGGGCCTCCCAAACTTATTTGTCTAGAGAACTGCCAAATTGATTTGCATTAGTCCACAGAGCTGGATTCCATTATGGCATATTCTGCTGAATTAGATGACAAGAAAATTAAACCGCCCCATATTTTCAGCGACTTCTCGAACTCTGGGATGGTAATGGTTAGCATATTTGGCATCTCGGTAGGCTCTTCTGTGTCATATGTGTTGGCAGCTCATGGGTATTGCTGCCATTGTTTGTTTTATAGATTAGATTTGATCCTTGCACTTCTCTATTTGTCCACTTTCAGTGTAGAGAAATCTAAATATATGTGTTTATAGGATGATCTAAATGTTATCCTTTATAGCCATGTGTAACATATTAGTGTAGGTCTAGGAATGTTTCGTCATTCCGCTAGCTTAGTCCAGGTATATTAACCAAATTTTTAAATGGATTGGGATTAAATTTATTGCAGATTTTAATATTCCCCTGAAGATAAACCATACTGGAAGGTGGCGCAGTTGGTAGCACTGTTGACTCACAAGAAGGTTGCCAGTTCACGTCCCAGTGTGGACACCCGGGATCTTTCTGTGTGGAGTTTGCATGTTCTCCCAGTGCAGCGTGGGTTCTCTCTGAGTTCTCCGGCTTCCTCCCACACAGTCCAAAAACATGTTGAGGTTATTTGGTGATTCTAAATTGTCTGTAGGTGTGAATGTGAGTGTGCTTGGTTGTCTGTCTCTAAGTGTAGCCCTGTGATAGACTGGTGACCTGTCCAGGGTGTCTCCTGCCTTCACCCTGAGTCAGCTGGGATAGACTCCAGCCCCCCATGACCCTAGTGAGGATTAAGTGGTGTATAGATAATGGATGGATGGATAAGCCATACTGACTCTGGTGATACACTGACTTTTATTCTCTCAGTTTAACCTTCTGAGCACGAAGCAGTTTCTGGATGTTTTTTTTTTTGTTCCTCCTGTCACGTTTTTACCAACTGTAGGCTCATTTTTCACCGCAGTATAAATAAATATATAAATTATTTAACAGAAATACCAAAGTTGAGTTCCTTTGATTATTAATTTTACAAAAAATAAAAAATAAAATAGAATCAACCTTTTTCCAAGTGCCCACAAGGGTTAACAATACTGGAAAAATGGTGGCTCTAAATGCTGTAGATACTAATTTGCATCTATGCACCTAAAGTTTTCTCGACAGAACTAAAAGTTACACAGAATTAGTTCAAGCACTGCCGGAAAGTTTGAAATCCAATGCTGATTCTTTCTTTTTTCACAGTTTCTGGCTCTGATAACAGGTGTAATTTTGGCATTTAAAAAAAAAAAATATATATATATATATAAACATGCCTTTCAAACTGGATTTTTACCTTTGTGGTTCAGAGGGTTAAAGTATCCAATGAATGATACTAAAACTTTAAGTACAACATCTCCCAGAGACATTCACATCCCCTACGGGAGATATCTGTGCTGATTCTTTTCCCAATACTTTGATTTTATGAGCAGATTTCTGAGAAACTAAGCCTCTGGTATACACTCTGCTTACTGCAAATTGACAAATGTTTGCTCGCTAATCTTAGACGGTGAACATTGTAAACATTTCACCTCGTAACCGTCGGCGTGTTGCCATTGTGAGTTTGTCGGCACGCTGAAATAAGTGTTGCACCTATTGTCAGGACAACCTGCTAAACATGAGGTCTTGATGTTTGTTGTATAGGAGTAAAAAAAAAAGTCTGTACAACAAAAGAAGCAATTTCTCTGGACATTTTTTTTTCTTGGTGACTGGGACAATAAACACACTTTAACATTAACATGCTGCAGATGGCGAGCAGTGGAGCAAACTTTGAAAATAACCTAAAACACGACTGCACGCAAGATTAAAGTTTGTTACATATCAAACCTCCAAAAGTCCAAATCTGTGGTTTTGACTGTCATTCATTCAATGCACTTTAACACCAGAAACACTCCTTCTTTCCGGCATATAAAAAACCCCATATTGACGTGTTAACAAGGTAAAAACCTCGATTTTCACTTAACAGAGATGTATTAAAAAGAGAGTTTACAGAGGACAATGCTGGGAAAAGGACATTTCTTTCAGGCCACAGTCTGATCTTGATGAAATTGAAACGCTGACACCATCACCTGACTTCTGTGCTTGCTTTGAAAACATTGTGTTAGAAACCGATGGGAGGTAAAGTGCATCAGCCAAGCCTCTGTTGCAGCGGAGGCCAAAGAAAATACTACAACACGTCCATTGCGAGAGCATATTTACCTTTTTTTCCCCCATTTCTGAAGGCGAAATGAAAAGAAAAGTGGAAATCAATGAAAAAAACTCGACACACTAAAGTTTTCCATTTCTCATCTTTTCTCTCGCGTCTTTGACTGGCGTTTTGGTCGTTATGGTGAGAAGGCTGCTCTTAAAAAGGGTGTGATGGGGTTTGTATGTTGCAAGCTGTTCTGACAGGAAGCCCGGCGTACACTAGTTTCATGTGACTGAATCGTTACACACTGTTCACACACTTAGCAACACAAACCAGGTGAGGGGGAGAGGTGGGATGAGATGTGTTGCCAGAGCCTGGCAGGTGTAATCGCAACTTTTATTCGAACTCTGCGTTTCCCCTCATCTCCTCCCAGGTGACTTTGGCGCCTTCTTCTCACACTTCCTGCCTTGTGAACCAGCTGGCTGTTATATGACGGTGTAGGCTGCATCCACGTGACGCATCAGAGTCAATCTGGACTTAAACTTTGCAGAAATAGGAGTTGAAAAAGCACACCGAGGTTTCATAAATTCAAGAGTCAGTTAAGGCCAGTTCTGTGGAGATAATTGCAGCAGTGTGCTGATTTGCTTTTTCGAACACCCACCTCATTACAGTACAGCTAAGCAGTAAGTATATGGAAGCTCACATTAATTTTACCCTGTCTTTTCTTCTTTTTTTTTCCCTCCCCATTTCTCTGCAGTCAGCCCAAGTGACAGCAGCAGGACGTTTGGTCTGAGCCCAGTGTGGCCCTTAGATTCCCCTTCTCTTAAACAAGCCAATGGAGACCTGAGGTTGAGCTCCCACTGGAGGCCCCAGAGCCCAAAAAGTCCCAAAAGCCCTAAAGTCCTGCGCCTTAGTCCCCAGGAAAGCAGGTACAGCAGGACATCACAAATGTACGCATTTACAATTTCTCTGCTTAACTCGTGCTTAAACGAATGTTCTTGTTGCTTCCAGTCTGTCGATGCGAGCCAAGCTCCTGGAATCAGACAGCAATGAGAATGGAGAATCCAAGGAAGACTTTGAGGAGTATCGACCCTCCACACCGACCCCTGCCTCTGCTCAGAACGGTATCCGATGGCCTCCATCACCAGCCTAACCACATTTCTTCCACTATCCACCATTATAATTCACATTGGCATGCGTGTGAATTATAAATAGATGCTAAATGAATAATAAATATGCTGAGTGTTCCTTTTCTGTCTCTTTCTCCTTCTGTCTTCTTAAAAACTTTCTCTCTCTGCAGGCTCCTCAGTGAAGGACAGCCTGCGGCTTCCTCTACCTCAGGGAGACTCGGGCAGCGAGGAAGGGGGTTCCTCCCCAGCTGGCTCCCCAAGGCCTGAGAGGGGTTCTCTTGGTGGCCTGATTAAGAGCACCCACCGGGCCCTGCTGGGCGGTGGCTCCCTCCTGGCCTCCGTAGGACTAGGCCGCTGCCTGGATATTCCCCCAAGGGTGCCCCCTCGAACTAACCCGCCTTACTTGGATGACCGCACCCACTCCGAACTTGAGATCTCCCTCCCTAAGCCCCTCATTTCAGACCCCCCAGTAGTGGATGATCTTATCACTTTCTCCACCTCTGAGCCTCTCCCCAGACCACTTTTGGATTTAGCTCTGCAGTACCAAGAACTAAAGCCTTTGCCCCTGACGCCGCCTCCACCGAACCCTCGCGAGAGGAGCGGACATCGGACGCTACAAACGCAGCACACGCCGCACAGTCCCCAGAGTCCCAGGCCCCCTTTGCAGCAGGACAGGGCCAGCCCAGGCGAATGGACCCCCTGTTGTAATTCCACAAACGGGGAGCTGAGCAGTGATTCCTGGGAGCACAGAGCTGACAGGAGGAGGAGATCCAGCCAAGGTCTGCACGCTTCTCAGCTAGGTCAGTCTAAATCTGTTTGTCACCTTTAAAGGACCAATTTTACAACTCAGTTAACCCACATTTTTAAAAGAACACCTACCTGAAGGTGCATATTTGAAGAGAAAAGCATTCCATCAAGTTGCATTATGGGGAATCATTGTGATTTATCTTACACTCCTTATGTAACCAATGCCGAACCACTGGAGTGTTCCTTTAAAAGGCAGCCGCTTCCCCCCGATCTGGTCAATGATTTGGTTCTTAATTTAGCTGCACGATTCATCTGCATTTCCCAGCATGTTTCAGGAGGCCCTACACTGAAATGCGGATCCAGCTTTTACCTTGAATAATGCACCTCCACAGCATGACAATGTTCCCTCACAGTTCTTGCAGAATTATTATTGTGCCTTTTTTTAGCAAGATCTTTCCGGCACAAGGGAGGCTTCAGTGCTGCTCGAGCTTTTTCATTTACATCAAAGCTTTCCTTCCTCCTATTTGCATATCTCAGGTAACAGCTGGCCCTCCATACTTCACTGCTAATACTTGCTAAGCAAAGCTAGCAAGCAATCTTCTGTTGTTTTCCTCCCTTTTCAACACGGAGTGTTCTTTTATTGCAAAAGTTAAAGATGAATGCAAAACATCGGGCGGCACAGCTGAGGTCACGCAGACAGACAGCGGATTCAAAATTGCTAATAATCTATTCTTGACTTCACTGCTGCTGCTGCTGCTGCTGTGGTGTTGTTTCTGGAACTTATTCAGATAGTGTGCCTGGAGCTCAGGATGCATATGCAGGCATGTCAAGTGTATGCTAAGGTGCCATTCATAAGGAAACATACATGACAGTGGCAACAAAAAAAACACCATTCAAGAGTGATTAGCATTCCACTCTGCCTCAAAATTATGACGTGTGGCATGTTTTTGTGTTTTAATTCATGCGTCATGCGAACAGACATGATCTGCATATCAGCATCAAATTCATTTACAGTATATTCATATGTTTTATTTCTCCAAAGACTGATATGCATTTCTTGGAAGCACTGGCACAGTTTAGCGCCATAATGACGGAGGCGTGAGTATTGGTTGTTTTAAGAGCGAGTGGGCTTTAGGAGGGCTTTAAGAGTGCCCTCTGGTAACATTTCACACTCTATATCTGGTCCGATTGACTCACAAAGCCTTGGATTCTCCACAGAGAGGTTCTTACAGCTCTACCCCCAGGTACTGAGCAGACATGCCTCGCCTGTTCCGCTGAGTAACAACCGTAATCTCACAAACCGCATGCGCTCATTACATCAGAAAAACAGAGGCAAAAGCTGCACATAATTAAACAGCGAGTGTTTTAGCTAAACATCTTATTATGTTTATTGACTGTAATGACTCAGGCTCAGATGCACAGACAGACTGCCACAAGGTTGCTGGCGGTGAATGTGTGCTTGAAAGAGGGAGATGAATTCAGAGGATTCCTTCAGTGGTGTTTCTTTGTGCTCTCGTGTGACTCCTGATTGCTCTTTTCTTGTCAGCTGAAAAGCTTAGCAGCCTTGGAGAGTTTGTGTTGATGTAAATAATGCCATTTGGCAGACACATCACATACGGAAGTGGCAAATGTTCATTCAGGCTGATTTATTCTGAGTTTAATGTTCTTGTCAGTGCTAATTTACGCTTTCTGTTTGCTACTGTTGCAGCTCTGTCAACTAGTTACGCAGCACTATGTTACACTTAATTTAGACTAATTGCATCGACATTCTGTACGGCTAATTGTTTCATTTCTTTCCGCAACAACAATGTACCACTTTCATGTTTCTGTTTGGATCATTTTCATCAAACAGGTTTATGTGTTTTGCAGATTATTAAGCAAGCGCAGGATTCAGATTGGGGAGGAGTGCGTTAACAGAGCACCAGGGCAGCACTGCAGCACTTTGAGAGTCATTTGCAGATTAACAATTAAACCCTCCTCAAGCAAGAAAGATAAAGACAAGATGATGAAGATGTTTAATATGTTGAGTATTCAGCCTTTCTCTCATATTGTGTCTTTGCTTGAAGAAGCTCTCCTCTGATTTTACAGATGAAGCTTTAGCTCTGATCTGTGGCTCCGGAGCAGCTTTGGAAAAGTCCAAGAAAATAACATCTTCAGTTAGGCTGCAGATGCTTGGCTGAAAATACTCAAACTAGGAACTAGAAGTCAGAATATCCTGTCCTCTGTGGTCTGATTTTATTTATCTTTGTTAGTTAAAAATGAATTTGGGGGGGATTTTTGCTTTTACTCAATAGAGCAGTCGAGAGAGATGGGAAATGATGGTTTGGTGTGTAGCAAATGGTCCTGCTGGCTGGGAATCGAACTGGGGTTTCTGCAGATGTGCCACAAGAGAGCATGTTCGATGGTACTGTGCAGGTCCAGAATATGTAGATGTGACCTATTGCGTATGTACGGACCAGGGAGCTCCGAGTGGACAAGAAAGTAGTATAATAACAACTATGGTGTCTGCAACTGTGCAACTGCAAAATGTGAGTAAGTTGAGCTAAGGCAGGCCATGTAAATGTCTATTGGCCACGGACTGTTCTGTGATGGCACACACTAAACGATGGCCATGCACTTTATTATGCATTGTTTAAACGGATGAGTTCAATACAAAATCACCTCTGTACAGTTGTCATGAAAGGGGAAATTAGTTACTTTTTTTTTTTACAAGGCTGTAGACATGTTTGTTCTGTTGTAAAGTTAGGAAATTTAACATGCAGGTCTGTGTGGATTGATTCGCTTTTGGAGCCAGCCTCAAGTGGACATTTGAGGAACTGCACTTTTTGGCACTCCGGTTCATTTTTCATCCCTAAAGGCTGCTGCTTGGTTCTAACCACTGCTGCTCTGATTCTGATCATCATCTCTCGATTGCAAGTCCCTCAGCTTTACAGAAGTATAATAGTAAATTGCTGGAGTGTCCCTTTAATGCGTTTTGTTTTCTCTTCTTCACAGTTTTGGACCTGCCCTTGTGCCAAGACACACAGGACTCTGACGACAAGCCATCGGTGCCCTATTCTCTCCACCCCAATCCTGCCCTTTTGAGCCCCAAAACCCGCCGCCTGGAGGTCAGTGTCATTCCTCGGCCCCGCCCATCCCCCATCCGCCCCCGCATCGACCCCTGGAGCTTCATCTCGGCCGGTGGTGGGAGCTCAGGTGGCGGCCGCAGCCCAAATCGCTCAGACAGCAACCTCCTGTGCTACCAGCCATCGCCTACCAACCCGTTTACCAACTGTGACCCTTTCCCCTCTCCGGACTGCGACCCATTCGCCCTCAAGGCTGACCCTTCGAGCAACTCGGACGGCGCCTCACCCTTCGACCCTTTCTCTGCTCCCTTCCCCACCTCTCGCTCCGCCCCGTGCTCCACCAACGGCTCCCCGACGCTGCCCTCGTTCCGCATAGCGCCCATCAACCCGGCCGACTCGCCTCTCATTGACCTCGGCTGGGCGGGCTGCAGCAAGCCCCTGGATGGCACCAAAGAGAGGGCGCACCCCCGCAGGATACTGGGGCTCAAGCCCTTCAAGTCCCCAACGCAACTCAGAGACGACAGGTTTTAAATCCAGCCTCGCCTGTGGCACGTGGCCCATTTCATGAATGGATGCTAAGAACTGCGATTTTTATCACAGGAACACAGTCCAGGACCTTTTCCCACTACTATGTCCAACATCATAACAAGGATTTGGAGCACACACTCACCACTCAACCCGCTGAGTGAGGTTTCCCGCATGGGAGCATCAATCATCACAGGTCTTGTATGTACACAAGCCTGCTGCTTTGGAAACCTGAAAGCCAGTGAAAGCCAGTGAAAGGTGGTACATTGAATTGTGGGATAGCTGCCTGTGAACCAATAGCTGGTGCCCATTTCATTCATTCCTTCTATCTCTGTTTCTCTATCCCTTTGAAGGAGCAGAATACAGATCACTAGTCCCATCTTCAGATTCTATCAGACTGCTCATATCACCTGCTTTCATCTCCCCCCTACCTTTGAAGCATTGTGACAATGCAGAGGTGGATAAGGCGACTTGCACAGCTTCATCTGCCTCTACCTCTCTACAGACTGAAAGCATTCAGGACAATGGAAAATTGGAGTGCCTTATTTCGTGAAGTGTTTTTAATATATATCTTTTCAAGGTTCCTTGAATGGTTAATCTGGTGCGTAGGGAAGACGCTATGAATTTGGCTTAAATTTGCAAATCAGCTTAGCATTGCAGTGTAAGAAGATGTCGTCTGTGTGTGCGTGCGCGTGTGCATGTATGTCTAGACTCATTGTTCAAGGAAAGCTTACTGTTTTTTTTTGGTTTTTTTGTTGTTGTTTTTTTTTGGAAACTGCGTCTGCCTGTTGCATTGTGGGAGAAAAAGCACTCAGAGTGGATATTCTAGGCCGCTCATGAAATCCAAGACAAAACCATGACCCAGGCATTCCACTTGGAAGCAGATAACATTCCAGTCACATTCCCCGGGAAATGCCAGGGATTGGACAGATTCATTCGGCTGGCAGGCGACACAGCACAGGAAACAAGACGGGGGAGCCCTCTGCATTCCCTTCATATGCCAAAGAATGCCACTGCGACAGTGTAAGGGCTGGGACAAAGGGTATTTGCAAATAAGTTGTTTTTACCTCCATGGAGTGCCAGACCAGGGTGGGTGGGTTTGCACACAGGACAGCACGGAAGCAAGTTGAGACAATCACAGATAGTATTTGAACAGAGCTGTTCTGTGGTTATCAACTTTTTAAATACTATCCATCCCGTCTTATCATCACCTGTCTGTTGCTGTAGGAAGGTTCAGCCAAATGCTTTAAAGTACTTGCAAATACTATGACACCTAGGTGTGGAAGCTTCATTGAGAATTCATTTGTACAGACCACAAATTAAGTCTTGCAAACGTTATCACACACTTTCAGTTTCACAGATCTCAAAATTTACATTTTCTTTCCCAGAAAGAACAAAATGCACTACTTTCCAGGCTTTCATTAGTTCCTTTGTTGAATTCTTGAACTAACAAAAACCAGTGTGCCTGTTCTGGATGTGTTAACTTTCTCCTGAACCAAATTTCATGTCTATATAAATATGAGCCAGGAAAAAAGCCCTGAAGAACACCTGATGTGAAAGACATTTTGAGTCCTTGCAGAGGGAGGACTGGACGGTTAAGACCTGTAGCTTGGAGACAGTTTGCGTAACTTAGTAAAAATCAATGTCAGACAGCTGTTCAAAGGAAAAACGATCCACAAACCAGCATCTCTGAAGGTCACTCATTAACACATTATAGTTGTGTTTAATTCCAGCGACTTCTGGTCACTCATGGTCGTCACTATGAGGTTGCCAGGCAACTAGTGGAAGCTCTTGGAAGCCACTGCTCCTGGCCAAGAAAAATCCCCCCTCCTTCTCCCGTAAACAACAAGTCAATGCTCTTATTATTAAGCTTTAGTGCAGATTAAACTAACGAGACATGATGTGGTAATTAATAAGCTTTGGAGGCGCTGGTGGCTGGATTGTTGTTACATGTAAACAGAGCCGGGCTCGCTGTGTGCCTGAGTGCTATTGATCTTTTCATCTATCTAATGCGATAATACTCCTATTCCCAAATTGTCCAACTATTCGTCGAGGCTGCGACAGGTAATGTGCATTCAAATCATCTCAGTAAGGCTTTGCAAAGACGAGATCAGCGGTAGCTCCCTCTACCTTTTTTTTTTTTTTGACCTGTGAAAGACTGTGATGTGGTGTTGAGATACAAGCAGTACAACAGGCCGGAATGCACCGCGGCACCACTTGGTTCGCAATCAAGATCATCCTACATGCTAAATATAACATGTTCAGGCACATTCTCAGGGTTTTTTTTTTCTGAAATCATCTTGGGAAGGTTGAGGGGAAGTCGCTGGAGTGTTTTGAACAGACTGTTAATGCATTGTTGTATCCGTTTTTTGTTTTTTTCAATGGTAGCAAAGGCTGATCCCGTCAATTAACATAACTAGTGTAGGTCAAGCATGTAAGCAACTGAAAGAGACCCCCTCTGACTCATGGCGCAAACTCGTCCCGCCAACCGCGGCTTCGCTTAAACATCACGACGTGCGAACGCTGGATCGGCTTCATCGCTGACACCGTGTCATTGGAAGACAATGCCGGCTTTGTTCTGCTCAAGAGTGAAAGCCTCGTCTCCAAAGGGGGAAAAGCTTTGTGATTAGCCTAATAATCCTACTGACGAACAGAGGAAGCTGATAGCGATAATTAGCCTCTTGATAAGAGCAGGGAGCATTAACAAAGCGTTCAGATATTTGGTTAATTAATTTGCCCCGACGTTACGAAAATACCCTGCATACTCCGGGCAAGGTATTGAGTCGCCTTCCGCACCAGCTTACATCTCGATTTAAGCCGTGGCCTTTTTCCTTGTTTCAAAGAGCCGTCTGTCCTCCCCTCTTTTTCTCTCTGTTGCCACTGGCTACAGCTGCTGACTGGACTTCTTCTTCATCTTCATTGTCAAGGCTCACCTTTTTCTGCCTTCTCGCCCCTCAGGTGGTGTGGGAGATAGTTTTCTTTCATTCATTTTCTTCCTTACTTCCCTCTTTGCTTGGCTGCAAAGTTTTCTTGAGGGCAGTTGTGTCCTGACACTGCAGAGCATTCGGGTCAGTAACAGCCAGGTTTTTTTTTTCCTGCGAGGGGGGAGAAAGAAATGGCATTTGTTCTAGGACAGAGTACATTTACAGAGGAGTGCTCATTTTATAGAGGCAATTCTGTTTGAAATTGGAATAGGAGTTTTATTGTGTAGTTCTTTTGCACGTTAATGCGTGTGTTCGTCGTCTGCGGCGGCAACAGAACAGACGGAGCCTGTCGATTCTCATTCTAATTTTTCAAACGAACTAGTTTGTCCTCATCTGAAGGCAAAAGTTTTATAGCTGTTCTGTACGGCTGCAGTCGGGGATGGTTGTGAAAAGCCTGCCGTCATAGAGAGAGGGGTGAGATGTGTCAATTTATATAAATGGGTATCGCACACTGTGACTCTTCTAGAAAGCATTTGCCTAGTATTGCAATTTGAAAACCGATAGAAGTGGTTGTGTCAAGAAGGAGAAAAGGGAGCTTGAGAGAGTTCAAACACTGCCTACTGTCACACCTCCGCACACCTGGCAATTGCTGAGGAAAGTGGGAGTGAATGTCAAATTGTCTGTTTTAAAAAAAGATACAAAAATTGTCGTATAAACCCCTTTGGATTATGAATTCGTAAAGAGGGATCTAGATTTGTGAGAAACACTTCTTCTGAACCTGTTTGATTTTCTACCAAAGCTTATGCATAGACAAGCAGCTGCTGGTTAGCATGCACCTGGAGTGTTCCAGAGGTTTACCCTTGAGGGGGACAAAGAGTAAACCCAATGCTCTGACAAACAGGAAAAACACATCGGCCACCACTCTGACTCTGACAGGATTACCCAAGAACTGGAATTTTGCTTGTCCAAAGCTTGATGTTGACCTCTGGTCTGATTGAACAACTCACCTGCCATCACCTGGACACGAGCACGATGGATCTTCTTTGTGGTGAGCAAACCTAAGAGGTTTAATATAGAACTTGTCTCTCTCAGCGGCGCTCCCCTACCTTCCTCCGCTCTCTTATCCCCACCACCAACATTTTACAGACATGACAAGTGATGAGTTATTGCCTCGTCTCTTCGTGTCAACACACAAAGCCACGAGAGCTATCTTCTGATAGTCGTTACGCTTGGGTAGCTGTTATTGTCAACACAGCTCTGTGAGCAAAAAAAAAAAGATACATGAAGGAAATTGAGATGATTGAAACGTCTGGCAGATTATTTCTGTCACGGATTCTCTCTGTGTGTCAAGTATCCACTTCAACCTGCCACTCATGCCTTGTCTGTGTGTTCTCTCACTGCTAGACTTTAATTTTCCCCCAGACCTGATGTTGAAAAGCACATTTTGTAATTGACTGCATAAACTATTACTTTCAATAACAGGAGTCACTTTGGTTTTCACAAATAATTACATTATTACCTGTATTCAGAGTGGGAATGTGTTCCCCCCTCTGGTAATAACTTTTCGAAGTAGTTCATTTGAGGTAGTGAGAAACCTCCATCCCATAAAGAGACCCATGAAAATAGGTTAGAATACTTAGAGCACCTGCTTACATAAACAAAATACCCCGGCCTCATCTGTTAAAGTGTAATCTGAATCTGACAAGTGTATGCTAGCTGAGGGAATAAACAGGGACACATTTTTAGGAAACACTTTGTGGACAGGGATGTCCAATTCTTGGTTTTGGCTGTCAGATTTAGGAACCATAGCTGCCATTTGTCTGCCGGAGCTGGCAGCAAGCACTCCAATAAGAAAGTCCTGATGAGTTGCTTGTGACGCTCTGCTCTTCCAGGCATCGCCTCATCCGTCATTGCAAATCACTGTCCTGAGAACATACTGACAAGGCGAGTGGAACCGAATTCTCCACAGGCCAGACTGATATCTGGCCACCGGTGATCTGCTTTCAGGCCCGCTGCGGCGGGGAGCAGGCGCGATTTGATGATCTTAATTCAAAGTTCAAGCTAAGACCATTGCCCTCTAATCAGCGAATGGCAAATGGTCAATACATTACATGAATAAAATCTAATCAGACTGCACAATGGAGAAATCCGAGGCCTTGACCCTCATCATGCCAAGAGGCTGTTTGTGAGTGGTGGTTGTGTTTTAGAGGTGAAAAATCAGAGCTATTACACAGGATAGAATAAATAAAATGTTGCAAGCCGGTTGTTTGCAAGGAGTAAGAGTGGAAAGCGCTGCCTAATTCAACCATCCATTGGGGTTTCAGCCACACTTAAACCTTTATTTGGCTTTATAAACAGCAGAGGTGTGCACATGCATACCTATTACTTGATTTACTGTGATTAAGTAATTGATTCAACTGTAGCAGTGAAGATTTAAAGACTGGAATGGGACTAATACTGGTGCCAGAGAATATATAATCCAGCCATGTCTGCAATTTTTAAATCAAAATTAGTGCAATCGTCAAACATCGGAGGTGATGTCCTGAGTTAATTCTAATCTGAGTCAAACATAAGATGATACAGATCTTTACACGTACCTGTGAGGGCACCCCAGTGTAATATCATTTAAATGTCAAATGATTCACCACAGTAATACCGTGCAATAGTTGCATCACTTCTAAGTTTAGATTTACTGCATTAGAAACACAAGCCTCACAGCAGGAACTCAATGCAACAAAAGTTAGTACACCTTTCACTGCTGCTGTTTAAATCTCTTGGTTTTTTTTTAATACTTTGTATGTGCACCTTTAGTTGTGGTGACAGAATCAATACTCCCTGCTCCGGGCTGGGATGTTCCTTTTTTTTTTGCCAAGCTTCTGCAAGTTATCTTGTCAGCCAGTGTTCTTTTATATCCACAGGCATTCATGGTGCATAAGCTCCATACATCACACGCCCACCTCAGTGCTTCACTGTTGGCTCTGTGCATTCACTGTGGTAGTCATGAAAAGGTTCGTGCCAAACATGCTGGACCTCAGAAACTCACATAAGAATCTGAAGCGTTTCCCTGTTTTTCAGAGCTCAACTGTACAAGTAGCTCACCATGTATAGTGTAACTTTAGCATCATGGTAACTGCGGCTCTGATTAGTGGTCCAAAGCTGTTCACAGGTCTTTATGAAACCATGTTCAGTGAATTAGGCTGATTGGAAATCACAGGTTTACTCAATTGTGTCTCAGTGGCCTCAGGTATCCTAACGTGTGTGTCAGTGATTACAGGTGTATTCACTTTTGTTTCATTGGGTTCAGTCTTTGGAAAATTTTCGTTTTTTATAAGAAGAACTCAGAAATAATGAGGTGATACAATTTTGAATGACTGAATTAGTGCAGTGGTGGACTCACTTGTGTTCGCCACCTAGCTGAAGCTAACCTTTAGTTTAAATTGTCATTAACCAGGTCAGCTGAAACTTTAGATTTCATTATATTTAAATTATTTAGCTTGCTGTATGTTGAAATAATGTGTTTAGAGGTATATATTTTTCCTAGTTTTCATAGTACAAGTCTTCCTTCTTATTTGCAAAATAAGTCATGGTTCTGTATCTCTATATGTAGCCAGTTTGACTTCATTTCCATCCTATAGTTTCTGACACCATGCAGATACTTTGGTGTGATTTGATTCTTTTTTTTTTATATAAATGTGTCAAAATTGCCACCGGGGAAATGATAAGAATCAAAGCGCAATGTGTGACTGTGACAACACGGTGGCAAGTGATGGTGGTGGAAGACTGAATCTCATTACTGCACAGCCTTCTGGGTAAACTAACCAAGCTGTGAAATAGAAACTATGAACTTTTGTTACTGGAAAGAAAAAGAACTCCTTTTAATAGCCTCTATGCCTGTATTAGTCAAAGTAGAGGAGCGCAGTGTGCATGTAAACATACCCATTTTTAGTGTTTGACGTGAAGGAAGTCAGCAAGTCAAGGCAGAAGTTGACTGTATTTCTTAAATTGGTGCGGCTCCATTTAAGGCATGTTTTTCTCCCTCATGGGTACAGAGGAAAATTGGAGAACGATTCAATAAGGCTGGATGGAAAAACTCTGGCTGAACATGTGTTGTATTTACTTTTATTGATGAAATTTTACCTTGGCGGGTCAGTGAAGAGTGAATTCTGAAACGACAAAATAGATGGCCTGGCATTTCAGTGGCTTTCACCTGATTCACCTTTGCTGCCTTTGCTTGCTTGTGCTCAATTAAGTGGATGTTACAAATACACCTGGTTTTCAGCCTCGTTTCAGTCGTCTTATAGCGAGCTGTCAGCGCTGGAGACACATTATTGCTCGTTCTGGCTCGTATTAAACTGAAACACCTGCCCAGGCCTTTGTTTGGCCTTAATAGGCCGAGACCAAATGATCAAATATGACCTTTCGTCAAGCGTACAGGAACTGCACATCCCAATAGGAATGTGGACAAAAGCCATGTCTGCCAGAGCTGCCGCCAGGTGTGTATGCGGTCTCTAAAACTGTGAATATTATTCCTAATTCTTTTCAGTCTGTGCATCCAAGGTCACCATCTGCTGTTTTTTTTTTTTCCCCAGCAACAGCGAAAACTGAATCAATAGGAGCTATGAAAGAAAGAGCAATTCTCTTCCAAGACTACAGTGATGGCTCTTGCAGAAAGCTGGCACTCTGTTTAGAAAATAAACATGGATTTTATCTATGAGGTTATTAAGTCCAATGCCCACATTCTCATCCCCTCCCTCTGCTCGACAGCATAAAACAGCCCCATGCTTGTGATTATTGTTCTGTCTAGCTATTGACACTCAATTACCTTGTGATCTTCCTCAAATAGAAACCGTTCAATCTGTAAATTTCTGTTTCTGGAGTGCTGAATGAGTGTGCTGCAGAGCAATTGGTTGAGTAAGCAGCCCTTGTGTCTCAAATATAGAAAGTGCGAAATGATTTATTGTTGTCTGCTCAACAGTGTTTGCCTATAAAAGGATTAGCTGGGTTTTTTGGGGGGCATTTTTTTAATCATTTGGCGTCTTATTACAAATCGGAGTCCATAAGCTTCGGTATAAACAGAAGTGTATACACCTCCATGTCACCTAAATGTTAAATGACACAAAACTGTATCGCTTTAAAGTCAGTGCATCATTTCTAAGTTGAACAGTGAGGTATTGTGTGAAATTCTGTAAAGATTAACCACATTATAAATGCAGGCCGCACAGTAGGAACTCAATGCAACAACAGTCACTTTCCATTGCTAACTTTTATTTTGTCAATACTTCTTGTGTCTACCTTGATTTTTATGAATGAACTCAATTCTCCTGTTTTTCAATGAATGGTGCCATTTACGCCATCTCCCCAAGACCTTTTACACTCATCAGACCCCACATCACTCCCACGTAGGTGCTTCACTGTCCTCGTCAGACTCACGCCCAACATGTTCCATTGATCTGAGCAAAGCATATTTATCTTAACTGCATTTCAGGATTTTAATTTTTTTTATTTTGGAACGTTTTATGTTGCAGTTTTGTGCTGAAGAGCAAGTAAACATTTTTTTTTTCTTAGACATTGTCCATACAGGTAAGCATCACGCTCAGATGGTGTGTCCCTCACGCTGCATTGTTGTTGCATTAAGTTTTTACTTTGGTGCTTTTATTTCCAGTGTAGCCGATGTAAAGTGCTTGTTTTTGGTCATCATAAAACTACACTTGTCAACCTAGAAATAATAATTCATTACTAGACAATAGAAAACAGCAAAAAATAAACCAAGTTGGATTTGAGTTTTTGGGGCTAGCTTGCAGGGCAATGGCTGACTGGATCTAATTGTTTGCACCAAAATATCCAGCTGAAATTACATCCCTTTTTGTAGCCTAAATAATGCCATGTCAGTTGGTTCTAATTAAACTAATTATCTCCAAGTCTCTTAGTAATTGTTAAAACTTGTTAAAGAAAGAAGGATGAAAATACAAACTCCAGGGATTGTAGATAAAATAACAGGCCTGTGGAAAAGCGGCGCCACTATGTTTAGTGCTGCCAACAGTGCCCTACTTTTGTACAAATCAATGTTAACAAATTTAATGATCGCCTAAGTGACTAAACGTCTGACATTTCACCTGATTAACGTCTTCAAAGGCGCAGCCATAATTCCGGGTAAAGTGTTTGCCTGAGGCTTTAGGGTATTTAACAGTAGGTGGTCTCTTTCAGGTGCTCATGGTTGGGCTTAAATAACTGAACTCTAAATGATCCACACAGGCAATTTGAAATGGTTTGGATGGTACAAATCCCCATGACTCACTGGTCAAATCTCTTCAACTCACAGCATCACAGTACTGTAAAAGGCTTTTCCTTCTGACAGCTTCCTAGCAGCCTGCGTAAGACATTCACAACATTTCTATACAGGGGGAAAAGTGGATATTTATAAATGGCCATCTTTTTACACACTGGATTATTTCTCTTTGGAGATGGCCATGGACGCAGTCTACATTAGGATGATGGATTGATTGCTTCATATGAACAAAACGTCTTTTTTTTTTTTTTTTTTTAGGTTTTCACTGGAGTTTTTAAGATGCGTGTATGGGTGCTTCACAGACTAACTTTACATTCCAGTTCTCGAATCTGACCAAATCTGATCTGCCCCAGTGTTTGTGTAGCAGAAAAAGTTCAAATGAATCGCCTGGTAGAGCTTGAAACCCGGTTCTTTGTGTACATTGCAGCAAAATCCCAAACCTAAATTGCAGCCTAATGTCCCCTTGAGGCACCCATACTGATTTTTTTTATGTGCATAAAACTGCTAAGATGAAGATAAGGTGTTTGCGGCTACCTTAAAGTAGCAGTAAAGCTTGACCTTCTCTCTGTCTTTGTATCTATTTGCTTTTATTGTAATTGTTCCAGATTAATTTGTCTCTTTTTTGTGTGTTTTATTACAACCTAGGCGATGTGATAACACAATCGTTGCATTGCCCTGGCAGCCATTTTTACATCTCTCTCAGAACTGTCTCTGCTCGTGCGAGTTAGAGGTTTTGCAGTCGTCGGGCTTTGAAAAAATTCGTTTTTGTTGCATTTTTGTGAAATCTCGCACTGGGCTGGGCCTAATCAACTGTTTTTATTGTGCGTCAAGAGGATTATTTCTGTATACAGTATGTGAAAAATGTTTTTATTTCTCTTGACTATTATAATGGGTTTTAACCTGTGGAAAAAAAACAAAGGAAAAAAAAGCTCAAAAAGAGATAAGACCAAATAAAATGTAACACTCCTGACCTGTTTGTGACCTTATTCCTGTCAAAGCTGGAACAATGGAATTTGAAGCCACAATAAGGAAGCTTTCGTGATTGTTGTTCAGGCAACCATAAAGCCAGGAGGACACTGTTGACTTTTTATGAGTTTATTGATTCTACTGGTGTGATTATCTTTTCATTTTCATGCACTTCACTGCACTGTTATGAGCTTATGAAACCTTCCACTTACTTGTTTCTACTCCTCTACAGAAGCCCACAGTGTACATGTATGTAATTAGCTCCTATGTAAATGTAAACATATCATTAACAATCACCTCTATAACATAATTATTTTGTTTGAGAAACAACCAAACAAATCTCATTCAGTGTTAATAAGAAAGCGGTCTTACCAGCTTCGTGTAAGCAATCCAACTTCTTTTCTGGAGATTTCAGCTGTAGACGTAGCTTGCCCTTGAAAGACACATTATACAGACCCATTATGTAGCAGGCTTTCTTTTGCAAACAAAGCAGAACCAGAAGAAGAAAAAAAGAAGATGAAAAAATACAAAAGCTTAATATCTTTACAATGGAAGCGGAGTGTATATGACTGCGGATATTTGTCATAAATGACACATAATCGTTGACTTCGTGACACAAAGCAGTTTCCTAACAGAATGGGGAAAAATGGAAACCATGAATTAAATACCACTATTAATATCCTTTTATTAAATGGTAGGGCAATGGCCCTTGAGAAATAGTCAATGTCGTCCAACGGGTGTCTATTTCAGATGTGGTGGTCAAATGTAGATAGTGGCGGTATAATGTGTGTGTGAGTCCAGGGGCAGCACATAAGGAACCGGATACAATAAACCCCCAAAGACTTATCTGTAATGAATTTGTGCTACAAAATGGCAAGTTGTAATATTGGAGTAATTCAAGCATGTATGTTACAACCGGAAAGTGATTCTGAAGGAGAATAATGAGAAATAAAACCGCACTCTGCAAGTTGTAGAGATTGGTTCCTTAGATTTGTCTTTTAATATATTAAAAAAAAAAAAAAAAGCCAGAGTGTGGGAATTAAACATAGAGATCTTACCAACCTAACCAAACAAATTCACACGATGCTGGTTAAGCCTATCAGTGCCAGATCTTTGTAGTTGTCAGTATATCAAAATCTGATGTCTGCAGCTAAATTACTATGCTGGGGCATTGGTACCAATTTTGCCAGAGCTAAAGGTATGACAAATCACAGTGAAGAAGATGGAGGAGGCACAGAAGTGTAGCGAGGCAAGCAGGAGCCTCTGAAAAATTAAGCCAAAACCTGCAGTTCCTTGAATGGCCACTAGAGGCTGGTTTTAAAGATGAGTCAATCCCCTCTGACCCCAATGTTAAAATGTCCAAGTTTACAGCAGAAATAAGCATATTTATATCATGGTACAAAACAGTTTTTATCTCTATAGCTAATGTCCCCATTCATGACAATTGTAAAAGAGGTGAATTTTTATATAACTTAACTGTTAAAATTGGATTAAGGCTTAAGGTTACACATATTTAAAGGCGTCACACTACAGATGGTTTGTTCAAGTTTTTCGTACAGTTGATGGAGCCTACAGTGGAACAACTTAAGTAGTGTCCAAGAGAAGTACTCCAGAAAGAACAGTGTTCAAAGAGAGGTTTGTTCACAGGAGTGCAGTGAGCCAATCGGCAACTTCTGAAAAATGGAACCAAAAACTGTAGTTCCTCAAACTGCCAATTAAAGCTGGGTCAATCCTCATAGACATCCATCTGTTATCTATACACCGCTTAATCCTGGAGCCTATCCCAGCTGACTCAGGGTGAAGGCAGGGGACACCCTGGACAGGTCACCAGTCTATCACAGGGCTACACTTAGAGACAGACAACCAAGCACACTCACATTCACACCTACGGAAAATTTAGAATCCCCAATTAACCTCAACACGTTTTTGGACTGTGGGAGGAAGCTGAAGAACCTGGAGAGAACCCACGCTGCACGAGGAGAACATGCAAACGTCTCCATGCAGAATGACCCCGGTGTCCTCAGCAGGATGTGAACCGGCGACCTTCTTCTGCGAGGCAACGGTGCTGACCACCGAGTCACCTTGCAGCCCTCCTCATAGACATCTATGTAAAAATGTCCAACTTAACAGATATGCATCTCTTGCTATTTGGTATTGATCTTAAATTATTATTACGCATCCATCTGGAGATATGAATGTCTGCATTAAATTATAATCCATCCAATGGCCAACCTGCTGGTGGTGCTAGTGGAAAAATCCAAAGCGTTCACCAAAGCCACGAGGGCTCATCCTCTATAGAAACTGAATACCTACATGGAACTTCATGGCAATCCATCAGGTAGATGTCGAGATATTACTTTTTGGACAAAGTGGTGGACCAACGTGCTGAATTTGTCGTGAAACTGGCTACAAATCTGCCCACTCTGGGTTTCCATTGTCACTTCTGAAGGGCGGAGTGGGCCATTTTTCTCCAGCTGACAGCTGTTTTTTAAAATTAAATGTAAAACGATTTCAATTCTGCCACAGAGGCGTAAAGAAATATTCTGTTATTACCATATTACGACATCTTTTCACATTATTCACGGTCCATAAAATGGAATGAAGACTAGCATGGTTCAGTGGAAATAATGGCTCTGCGTGTATATGTGTATCTTCTATTTCTGTAACTGTGGGTAAAGCTGTTGTGTCAGTGGTGAGACTCTGTGTTTTACAGCTACATGACAGGTGATGACAGGGTGAGGACAGCGCTGGTTTGTGTGTGTATTTTCC